CAGCGGAGGTGCCCAAGCCGGAGAACAACTTCAACGAGTTAACGCTCTACGCAGAGGACACGGTCCTGCTGGCGAAATCCACGAGCCAAGCGCATGTCACAAGATACTTGCAGCAACAGGCAGACAGATTAGAGGAGTGGGCAAACCTGTGGAAGATCAGTATAAACCCTGACAAGAGTCAGGCGATACTGTTCACCCGCAGGTTGGTACAACCGAAAGGCAACGTCACCTTCAACGGACAAGAGATTCCGTGGACCAGCAAAGCGACATACTTGGGGGGTCATCTTAGACAGGAGATTAACATTTCAGTCTTATGTACGGCAGCGAATTGGAATGGCTAGACACGCCAGACAATGACTGGCACCTATCATAGGACGCAGAAGCAACATGGGGTTGAAAGTGAAGTTGCTAATGATCAAAACCGTCCTCATGCCCATAATACTGTATGCCTGCACTGCCTAGGGCCAGTGCGCACAGACATACAGGAAGCAGATACAGTCTTTTATGAACGCGAGCGTATGGGCCGCCGTAAACGCGCCGTACTATATCCCAAATAGATACATATACAGAGACTTAGACCTGGACACGCAATATGTGGACGTGTATATGAGAGAACACGCAGAAAGCGTGTTCGATAGGATCCGATCGCACAACAACCAAGCGCTACGCGATCTACACGATGCGTTGAACATGGATGAACCCAGGTTCCTAGAAAGGGACAAACATCCAAGGCCGACGAAGCAGAACCAAAGACCGCCCCCGCGAGTCGCCGTCAGGCGACTCCGGTAAGCATACTAATCAGATTTTCTTACAGCAAGTTCACCGCAGAACAACTCGACCGCGATCCAATTATCCTTAGATTCACTGAGGAACGCCCAACGTTAATAGCAATAGCCGCCGGTTAGTTTTTGGGGGCCCCCATGCAAAAATTCAGTTAGGAATAGTCAGACAAAACACTTTTTACCGATCGCGAAAGAATAGCACCTAAAGGCTGACTTTCGACCAAAAGAGGTCAGATATCCTGCTGAAGTGCCCATCAGTAAGTTGAGAACCGCTCGGAGAGCGGGGGTGGATGGAGTGCGGTAGTAGGTTCTCCTCGCTAAATAGCTGGGAGGGAAGCTTCTACTTCAGGGCACTCAACCCGGGAGGGGGCATGGGGGGGGGAACCTACCGGATTTGCTTAAAATTTTTCTGAGAAAAAATCACGAGATCAGTTACCGCTTACACAATGACCTTCACTGCTTTGAATCTCAATAAATGCTTGTTGAGTTATTGATATTTGGATTTGGGACTGGGAATTTTGTGAAAAAAGGAAATAAAACTTCCTATATTTTTATATCACCTGTTATACAACTGTAGTAACTAACGTTACAACTGATTTCTTGATTTCTAATTTATTACTAACGGTATGTAAACAATCACTTGGGATTCTAATGTCTATAAAGCTCGGTTTTCTGAATACTCCAAAAACGAATTTATGAGTGGTAATTTTCCGCTGAATTAGAGAAACGAAGTATCACTTACATGAACCCTTCCTGTCCTAAACTATATGACCTACTCAAATACATAACATAAAAACCATGCCCATAAGACCGGTAGTTTTGTATATAAATAGAACGGTAAAAGAACTGAGAATACGACTTAACAAGTTATTCAAAAATGATGCCAATTTTGTCTCATGTCACAGAAATGAAATCTGGCTCACTTCAGTTGAAAAAATAAGTATCCAAACCACGCCATATATTTCAATTTCAGTTCCATTCGATGTAAAGAGTATGTTCTCCAACATACTGTACAACAACTGTGGAGTATCTTCTTTTAAACTGAAATACTTCATGACATTTATGAATAATCCTAATAGAAATATACTGTTCAGACTCGAAACAGAGATAGAAAAACCGTAGAAAAACCGAGTCTTACAAACATTACAATCGCAAGTGAATTTTCCCATCCTGACAGTCATCAATTGGTAGTCTACAATTCAATGTTTTACAGAGCATTCTTGTCACCCTTGCCTGCTACCAACCTAAATAGGGAAATTGAAATAATTATACAGACAAGATAAAATAATGATTTTAACGCAGACCCACTTCAGAACTGTGTCTGACACCGAAGCCTCAAATTTACGTATAGATCAATATACCCCCAGAACAAATAATCAGAAATCAATAAATTTATAACTTCAACATATTTTGGTAAAACAGAAAAAATTGCGGGATTTACTAGAAAAAACAATGTAGAAGTGGTATTCAGGTCACATGCCAGGTTATTTAATTTTTTTATGCCAAAGATGAAGTGAACAAGAGAAATCTAAAGTTCATGAGCTTGAGTATCCGGAGTGGGACAATTTGGCCAAAATTTCTCAAAACGGTATGAAGAACATGAAAGGTCCTTCTTTGGAATGTAACTAAATGTTTCTTAATCTAAACGATAACGAAATTTCACACTATGCAACAAGCAATGTTTGGAAACTCTATTTGAAATCATACTAACCTACTAGCATACCCACATAATCGCAGGTCAACAAAATTCCTGTACTCAGTTGAGTTAACGACCGTCTGTTATTACTTATATAAGTATAAGTGTATAGTTATATAAGGGTTCACAGTGTTGATAATTTCAGTTCATTGTATTCATTTAAAAATATCCTTATAGGAAGAAAATGCATTAACGTTTGTAACCAATACAAGCAGCCGATCTTTGTTGAATTTTTTGAAATGAAAACTGAATAAAAAGAGAAGTGAATTGGTAACATCTCCTGCTGAAATTCATTTCAATACTCGACACAGTAATATTCATATATT